GGTATGGTAGGGCGGGGTAGCCCAACGTGGGCATGTGAGGACGTGCCACGAGGTATGGTAGGGCGGGGTAGCCCAACGTGGGCATGTGAGGACGTGGCACGAGGTATGGTAGGGTGGGGTAGCCCAACGTGGGCATGTGGGGACGTGCCACGAGGTATGGTAGGGCGGGGTAGCCCAACGTGGGCATGTGAGGACTTGCCACGAGGTATGGTAGGGCGGGGTAGCCCAACGTGGGCATGTGAGGACTTGCCACGAGGTATGGTAGGGCGGGGTAGCCCAACGTGGGCATGTGAGGACGTGCCACGAGGTATGGTAGGGTGGGGTAGCCCAACGTGGGCATGTGGGGACGTGCCACGAGGTATGGTAGGGCGGGGTAGCCCAACGTGGGCATGTGAGGACTTGCCACGAGGTATGGTAGGGCGGGGTAGCCCAACGTGGGCATGTGAGGACGTGCCACGAGGTATGGTAGGGCGGGGTAGCCCAACGTGGGCATGTGAGGACGTGGCACGAGGTATGGTAGGGCGGGGTAGCCCAACGTGGGCATGTGAGGACGTGCCACGAGGTATGGTAGGGTGGGGTAGCCCAACGTGGGCATGTGGGGACGTGCCACGAGGTGGGATGTGCCGTAAGAAGAGTGAAGGCTTAATAGGCGCTTGAGACCGTTTGAAATCGTTTGAAATCGTTTGAGACCGTTTTGATTTGCTCTCTCCTTAGTGACTTCCCTGTGAGCTAGCAGGGCCACCATCGCATGGGGGCTGGAGAAGAAGTGTCAAGTGCAGCCCGAATGTTGCCCTGTCTTCAATTCTCCTTCCACCACATTTCCCTCCCACCTGTTCCTCCACCCCCCCCTCGTTGCAGCTGAAGGCGCTGCACCAGTTTGACTGCCTGTGCGCCAACAAGGCCACCATGGCATGGGGGCTGGAGTCGATTATCAAGTGCTCTCCCGTCCTGTCTCTCTTCTACCCTGTTTCCCTCTCATCTGCTACAGCTGAAGGCGCTGTACCAGTTTGACTGCCTGCGAGCCAGCAGGGCCACCATGGCACGTCCCTCAAGTGCTGTCCTGACCTTAGTCCTTCTCTCGTGCCCCCTTGCTCCGTCCCTCGCTCCAGCTGAAGGCGCTGCACCAGTTTGACTGCCTGCGCGCCAACAAGGCCACCATGGCGTGGGGGCTGGAGGCGCGAGTGCCTTTCCTCGATAAGGAGTTCCTCGATGTTGCCATGAGCATTGACCCTGCAGAGAAGATGGTGCGTGTGGAGTGAGCAATTATTCTTTGGTCCATTATTGGGAGTTAGGGAAGGGGTCCTGCGATGGGGGCTGGAGGCGAGGGTACCTTTCCTTGATGTTGCCATGAGCTTTAACCCTGAAGAGAAGATGGGATGTGGGTTGGTAGGGCGGATGTGGGGGTGTGCTGAGAGTGTGATCTGACTTTGATGCACCTCACAATGGAGCACTTGGGACAGGTTAAAGGTGAGACAGCTGAGGCAAGGGCGTTGCTGTTCCTCGATCGGAGTTCCTGGATGTTGCCATGAGCATCGACCCCGAAGCCAAGATGGTGCGTTGGGAGTTATTGTTAGGGGAGAGCTGATGGGGTGCTGGGTATGTGAATGGGGGAGAGGTGGGCCAGCAGAGGCAAGGGTGCCTTTCCTCCATAGGAGTTCCTCGATGTTGCCATGAGCATTGGCCTTGAAGCCGAAGTGAGAAGTACATCATTTCGTAAGGCTTTCTCGAGGCTTGTAGAAATTCCCATTCCTCCCTCCCTTCCAACCATTCTTCCCGCCCTCCCTCCCTCCCCTCTCCCCCTCAGATCAAGCCCAAGGAGGGTCGGATTGAGAAGTACATCATTCGCAAGGCTTTTGACGACCCCGAGAACCCATACCTGCCAAAGGTATGCCATATCTCCCACGTGCAAGCAACCCCCCTGCTTCCCCAATCCACTTTTGAGTCAACCCATACCTGTCAAAAAGCATCCCCCCATCCATTCCTTTTCCATATGTACCCCAACCGTGCAAGCCTTACTATATGGTAGGGTAGTGTAAGCATATGTTTCCTGTTACCGTCTTCTCTCCCATCTTATTCCTTCCCCTCGCAGCACATCCTGTACCGCTAGAAGAAGCAGCTCAGTTACTGTGTGGGGTACAGTTGGATCCTCCCCTCGTATTTCCTCTCCTGTTAAGCATATGTTTCTTGTAACCGTGTTATCCTCTTCTGCTCTTACTCCTGCCCCTCGCAGCACATCCTGTACCGCCAGAAGGAGCAGTTCAGCGATGGCGTGGGGTACAGCTGGATTGACGGGCTCAAGGCACATGCCGAGAACATGGTGAGTGGATTGGAGTGCCCTGACCCTGCATCACTGCATGCTGGCAACATGGCGTTTAGTGCATGCTGAGTAGAGGGAGCTTTTGGTGATGGTGTGAGGTACAGCTGGATCGACGGGCTCAAGGCACATGCCGAGAACATGGTGAGTGGAGTACCAGCTGACACATGGTGCGTACCACATGCTGATACATGGTGAGTAGCACAAGCTGACACATGGTGAGTACATGCTGACACATGCTGGTACACAGCAGACATGGTGAGTACCACATGCGGACACATGGTGACTACCACATGCTGACACATGGTGCGTACCACATGCGGACACATGGTGAGTACCACATGCAGACACATGGTGAGTACCACATGCGGACACATGGCGAGTACCACATGCGGACACATGGCAAGTACCACATGCTGACACATGGTGAGTACCACATGCTGACACATGGTGCATACCACATGCGGACACATGGTGAATGAGTACCACATGCCGACACATGGTGCATACCACATGCGGACACATGGTGAGTGCCACATGCTGACAGATGGTGAGTACCACATGCTGACACCAGAATGTTCATTATTTTTATGAATTTTTCATGAAACACCCCGCCCTCCTCCTGCGCCCAGCATTTTCCCCATCAACATTCCCAATACAAGGCAGCACACTCACCCATGGCTCACTTCTCCCCTCCCTCTTTCACACTCCCCCCTCCCCCTCTCATCCCCACAGGTCTCAGACCAAATGCTGGCCAACGCGCCCAACATGTTCCCCATCAACACGCCCAAGACCAAGGAGGCCTTCTTCTACCGCATGACCTTCGAGAAACACTTCCCCCAGGTACCACCTCCACCAGATAACACTTCTCCTAGGTAATAACTCCCTTGGGTAACACTTCCCCCAGGTAGCACCTTTCCCGTGTAGCACTTCACGAAGGCTGTTGTGTGTGTTAATTATGCTTTATGCTGTTTTCTCTCATCATCCCAAGTCCCTCCACTCCCTTCTTTCCCCTCCCCTCATCCCCCCCTCCCTTTTATCCCCTTCCTCTCATCACCCTGTCCACTGTCTGCTTCTTTTTTGTTCCTTCTCTTCATGCTTTCTCTTCTTGCATAACCTCAGTGTCTGCCCTCTGAACTGCAGTTTCCGTTTTCAACCTCGTTCTCTTCGTGTCTCCCCACATTACCATTTTGCCCTCTCCCTTCCTCTTTGTTTCTCCGCTGTCCAACCACCCCCTCCCCACCCCCCTCCCTCCCTGCTCAGCTCTGTGCCCGCCTGACTGTGCCGTGGGGTGCGAATGTGGCCTGCAGCACAGCTGCTGCAGTCAAGTGGGACGCTGCATGGGCCAACAATATTGACCCCCCTCCCTCCCTTATTTTTCCTCAAACCCTCTCCCCCCCCCCCCACACCCCCCGTCCTCCCCATCTGCCCAGCTATGCGCTCGTTTGACTGTGCCGTGGGGTGCGAGTGTGGCCTGCAGCACAGCTGCTGCAGTGAAGTGGGATGCTGCATGGGCCAACAACATTGACCCGTCAGGCAGGGCTGCGCTCGGTGTGCACAATGCATCGTATGAGGGCAAGGAGGGGGAGAACGAAGAGAAGAAGGTGGAGATGGAAGAGAAGAAGGTGGAGATGGAAGAGAAGAAGGTGGAGAAGGAAGAGAAGAAGGTGGAGATGGAAGAGAAGGTGGAGATGGAAGAGAAGGTGGTGGAAGGGACGGAGAATGGGGATGCCAAGGAGGAGGAGCCTGCTGCTAAGAAGGCCAAGGTTGAGGCTTGAGAAACTTGTTGGGACGGGGAGTGATTGCGGAAGTGGTGCGGATTGTGTCGAGGTTGCTAACAGAACCTTTACTGGTACTATTGCAAGCATGCGTATCACTTAATAATAGGTGTTTGGGTTTGGCCGTTAATGCTTCGTTTGATTGGTTGCATGATTTTTGTTTGACATGCTTGGGCATGTGTTTTGCCAAGGAATTTAATTTGCGTGTGGGAATCATAGTGTGCTTTTCAACTTAAGACTAGTGACCTACCTGTAACTCGAAGTTTCCATAACGTACAACGGCTCCTCCACTATGCTGGTCTGGGCTTTCCATGAAAGATGAAGCCATCAGGGCTGTGCGACGTTACCACTGACAGCAGCATCTCTGGGCGGAAATTATGTCGTCGCGGAGAAATGTTGGGGATTGCGAAACCCGCCCACCGAAGAATGTACAGAACAGTTGTTTCGCAAATGCCCGATTCGAGCCCGCACTTCTGCACATGCGCGGCGCGACCGGACATTCCACCGTGTGGGAATTTCCGCATTTGCCATGTTCGCGGGCAATCTGTCTGCCTGCTGGCGTTTCTCCACCACCCGCTCATTATTTATCACGATGCTCGTTCTGCAGGAGCACTGGCTGGAGCACCGACCAAAAACCAGCCACCCCACCCCACTACCCACAGTGCTTCGGTACAGTACATGTGTTTCCGCCTGCGCTTAGTTGTAGCGCCAGCTTGGCAAGTGCCTGTCTGCAGATTCATGCCGTCAGCAGAAGAGTATGGGGGAGGTGAGAATAGGGTGCAGGGGCGGTGAAACACGCGTGGGTGATTACCGACCGAGGCCTGTGCCGCTCGAAGCATGCAGCCCGTGCCGTGCCATCCCTTTCTTCCCTTCCGACTGTGTAATTTCCGCATCAATTCCGAGTTCCCCTGAGGCCCCACTTTGGTATCTTCTCTGAAATGTCGCAATCCCAGCCTTGCTCTCTAGAAACCCTCGTCTGAAAGTTCGTGCACTAATTATACAGCGGGACCTTCTCAGCGTGGTCCTTTTATATCCTTATGAAATATCGGGCCTGGTACTCCTACAGACTGAGTCTCCTCTTCGTCGGTAATTTTATAGTCGACTCAAAAGTCTCCAGTAATATCGGGCCTAGCACTCTTACAGTCTTCTCCTTAATGTTGTAGGTGATCCTTAAGAATTCTCAGCGTGATCCTGTTATATCCTTCTGTAATATCGGGCCTAGTTTTCCTATAGACTTCTTTCTTCGTCAGAGGAGCCCTCCTTCGCAGTCCGATCGGGCTAAGCCATAGAACTCGCATAATCTCCTTATCGACGCAGCCATGGCGGATTCAGTAAAAACTAGCCAAACCAAAGGCTTGACTGTCCAATCGTCGCAAATACCTCCTTGCGGCACTATGCATCATTCCTCGCCTGTGTCAACAACAAGCGGAATACCTTTCGCGAGTAAGCTCGTATGGGGTACGATAGGCACCATCGCCCTCGTTTTAGTCACTTTCCTCGCCACGCGTCACACCTTCGACGCTGTAAGTTCCTACGGCCTTCGCCGGCTCGCGCTGGCCGGCGTCCCGCGGAGGTCACTACTAGCAGCAGGTGGTGCGTCCACGCCGACCCTTGATATCGATTCACCTGAGACGCTTTCCCGTAGAAGATCGCTAGCGGCAGCTGGAGCTGCTAAAGCAGGCGGTGGCGGCAGCGGCGGCGGCGGCGGCGTTTCCGGGTCGCGAGGCAAGCTGGATCCGGGATTCGTGGCGAATATCACGGCGGGAGTGAAGGTGGTGATTGGCAGGGTGTACGCGATAAAGAAGAGCCGCGGTAAAACGAAGATAACGGATTCCTGCTCAAACGACTGCCTCTCGCTGGTACGACCCCTCCCTCCGCCCAGTAAGGAAAAGGATTCTTCCCTCGTGACCCGATACTGCGCAAATCGAACCTGTTTTTAGTCGACTCCGAACACACCTGGAGAAGGGCTCTTCCTAGTGATTCGATATTGCGCAATTCGAACTTGCTTCAAGGACGGGCTGTCCACTGAGAAACGGGTAGTGTTGCAGCAAGCTCGGTATTCTCAGTGGATTGCGCAATTCGAACCTGCTTCAAGGGCAGGCTGCTCTCCCACCTCCCCTCCCCCCTTAGCCCCTCCTCCACATCCTCCTCCCCACCTCCCACCTCCCCCTTTTCCGCCTTCTCCCTTCCCCCAGATTGTCACCGCCGAGCGTCGGTGCTCCTTCCCCTCTCATCACCTCCCCCAGATGACACCATCTCAACCCTAAACGCTGAGCTTCGCAAATGCACTCAAGACTCGCATAACTCCCAAGGTCGTGCCGTTTCACTTCTGTCAAGATGCTCTCCCACCTCCCCCCTTCCCTCTCCGTCCTTCGCCCCCACTATCCCCCCCAGATGAGCACTGCCGAGTACCATCTCAGCAGCGTCGCAAAGGCGCTCAAGAGTAAAACCAGCTCAAAGGACGTCCCGTTTTGGCTGATGGCCGCGCAAGACCAGGTTACGACGTGCCTGGAAGGGTTCCGGGAGTTTTCGCCGTCGACTCTCACCACACCAGTTGGGAAGTCCCTCCAGGTAAGCGCTCAAAGCAGCAGGTGCCTCCAGAGCACTCAAGCGCTCCAGAAGCGTGACTGTTGGGCTGACAGCCGCGCAAGACCAGGTCACGACGTGCCTGGATGGGTTCCGGGAGTTCTCGCCGACTCTCGCCACACCAGTTGGGAAGTCCCTCCAGGTAAGTGCGTAAGGCACACGCCAGCCGGTCAAATAGTACCCTCCAGGTAAGCGCTCAAAGCAGCAGTTGCCTCCAGAAGCATTCGGTTTGGCTGACAGCCGCGCAAGACCAGGTCACGACATGCTTGGACGGGTTCCGGGAGTTCTCCCCTGCCACTCTCACCACACCTGTTGGAAAGACCCTCCAGGTAGGGTGTCAGTTCAGGGACTTTTTATAAAGTAGCTGAATAACCCGTTATAAGACACCCTCTGGGGTGTTTCCTGGAACCAACAAAGTCTCCGTCTCTTTACTTTTTCCAACATTATATTCCGTTAATAGCTCGACTGGAAAATCCCATCAAGACTTTCTTTCTAGGATTCCTTGTATTAGCCCATCCTGCTGACCAATCCTCTCAACTTCATTCAATCAGCATCCTCCCTTCTGCCCTTCACCAATCTTGCTCTCCTAACTGGTAGCTTGGCCCAAATCCCTTCTCTCCCCCCCTGAACCCCTGCACCCCTGCCCCAGTCCCATGGTAATCGAGTGAAGAAACTTCTTAGCAAGGCCATTCAACTCTCGCTTCACTTGTGACGCTATGGAACAGCCAAGAATAGGGTTAAACATGACAAGGACAACTCGGATTATAGCAGATGAGCAGTAGGAATGTCTGACATGCCACGGCATGGTGAGATTCACATCACATGCTTTGAAGGCTCTGTTAGTACAGAACGGCGTGGAGCTCTGTATATTATTCAGATTTATGTTTCAGAGCGATTTATTCAACTGAGTGTGGTTGGAATGCATTTCCACTTTGCCGATTTCAAATATTATAGACTCGTTCCATATGACGCTTGGATTTCCATAAGTTTATTCACCACATGTCAACCATGGTGGCAAGCATTTACCAGTATGTATGCAAGGTAGACATCACATAATAATGGAATATTTGCTTCTCTCCAAATCAATTGTTTACCAATTTACGGTTATTTCTCTACCCCCAGTAAGGAATTTCCATTCCTTACTGAGTCGTACGCTAGCGCGTACACCCGAACTCCTCGACTCGTCACGTTCGGCCTCATTTGTCGGCCCAACCCTTTCCCGCGCCGCGTCCGGCAATGTCGCCACATTGCCGAACCTACCCACGTTCCGAGGTTATCTCCCTAGCACGCCAACCTCTATATAACCTCGTGCCTTCATTGCAATAGCGACATTGTATTCTCACGTTATATTTCATTGACACTTCCTATATTATAACAGCTGGTATGAGAGCCAGACCTTTCCAGGAACCTTCCATTTTCCCGCTTACTTTGTTAAGGGTGGTCAGAGGGGATTAGCATGGTTGCACAGCCGTTGTCTTGGATCGTAAATATTTTTACGTCAACAACTATAGCGTGTGCGCTAGCTTCTGGCCCGTCCTGACCGCCATGGCCCCGGTAGACTCGACGGTTGAGGGACAATCCACCTCGACTGCTGCGAACCCTGCCCGGGAAACTGTGGATCTGCAAACATTAATGGAGCCGTTGAAGAATTTGATAAGCATTGTCAACGACCTCCGCGACGATAACCAACGACTTCGCCAGGCGCAGGAGAGGCGTCCAGAGGAGCCGGGCAACGATGCACGAAGCAAGGCGGGTGAGCAGCAACCGCCGCCAATGGAGCTGGCACGACTAGCGGCAACACCCCCGCGCTCGACAAGTGACGGTGTAAGATATCAGCAACCCGCTCCTTTCGACCCAGCTAATGAAGGCGTAACAGTGAGGCAGCGGATATTCGCCATGAATATCTATTTTAACGTGGCGGGCATCAGAGACGATCAAAAGCGGATCAGCCACACGTTAAAACTGTTGCAAGAGGCCGCCCTACAGTGGTGGAAGGTCACCGTCGACTCAGCGGCAACACGCACAGAAGGACAGCACGAGTGGTCCGAAGAATTCGGCGACGAAGACGAGACCGAATTGTTGTTCGGAGCGACCCACATTCGCACCTAGGCAACGTGGTGCGCAGAGCTTCGCAAGCGGTTTGAGCATGCTCCTGACTCAGACAAGGCACGCGAAACTCTACGCATGTGGAAGCAGCTGGGATCTATGTCCGAGTACACCGCGTCGTTCCTAACGTTGGTGGACAGATGTGGCTACATGGACAAGCTGGAGAAGGTCGACAGGTACACAGGCGGCTTGAAGCCCTAAATACAGTACCAAATAAAACTTCAACGCCCTGCGAAGTGGTTACAACACTACATCCAGCTCGCCGAAGCCGGTGATTCGATCACGAAGCCGAGGATGAACTTCTACGACGGAGGTCACCCTCGAGAACAGTATCAGCGCGTCACGATAAAAGGGGTGGATGCAATGGATATTTACGTAGTTGCTCCGCGAAATACGGGGCTATGCTACCACTATGGCTGGCCGGGTCACATCCGACGCAACTGCCTAGAATTCATAGCCCTCCAGAATTCTATGGGGAAGAAGCTGGAGGAGCGACTGGGAAATGGGTCGCGTCAGTAAGTACTTGGCCCCTTACTAACGGGCAGGCTTCTTTGCCCGAACCACACAGTCCCCACTAGGTCGTGAACTTGATTGCTAACATCGACCGGATCTGGACGAATAAGGGCGACGAAACTGCTGATCATCTTGTGTTGGTGGGGGGTAAATTCAATGGGGTGTTATTGAAGATATTTGTTGATGGAGGCGTGAGGCACAGTCTCATACAACTGGATAGGGCTAAAAAATTGGGTATACCCTTACTCAAGTGTCTACCTGAAATCGATGCCCGACTGGTGGACGGAACACCACTGGCAATACGGGAACGAGTGGAGAACGTTGGTTTTACCTGGGGGGGGCATGTAAAATTTCGGATGGGACTATTGGCGACTACTCTCGACGGGTGCGACGTGCTGCTGGACGTGATTGGCTGTGACGGTACAACCCAAAGATTGACTGGACGACGGGCAGCTGCAGCATCAAGCTCGATGGGATTTCCAGCGAGCTGCCCAAGTGGACGGGGCTTCGCATGCAAAGCACCCAAGTCCACGCGATCACTTTCAAACGCGCGATAAAAGCTGGAGCTGCAGCGTACGCCATTGAGCCTCGCGAGGTGACATCGACGGTCGAGACCGAAGATATCGAGAAGCTGTGCAAGGCCGTCCCTCCGGACTTAGTGGACCTGATTTGGAAATACCCAGAGATTTTCCCAGACGATCTACCAGCTGGACTCCCACCGAGCCGACCTGAGGACCACCGAATCGAGCTGGAACCAGGCGCCCAACCAACGGTACAGCGCCAATTTCGGCTCAGCCAACAAGAACTGGAAGAATTACAGCAACAGCTGAATTACCTTCTCGCGAAAGGATTTATCCGGCCTAGCACGTCACCATACACCGCCCCGATACTGTTCATGCCGAAGAAGGATGGAGGATTTAGAATGTGCATTGACTACCGCGGGCTCAACCGTATCACCATCAAGTCGCGTTACCTGATCCCGCGAGCCGACGAACTTCTCGACCAACTTCGCGGCGCCAAGTTTTTCTCGAAAATCGACTTGCGATGAGGTTACTATTAGATTTGCGTTGTCGCTGAAGCTTGTCACAAGACAGCATGTCGAACCCGCTACGGCAGCTACGAGTACTTGGTGATGCCTTTTGGCCTCACGAACGCGCCCTCGACCTTCCAAACGACCATGAATGGAATTTTCAGGGAACTCTTGGACAAATGCGTCATCATCTACCTCGACGACATACTAATCTACAGCTGCAGCAGGGAGCAGCACTTACAAGATCTTGATGCAGTCTTCATGCTGCTGCACAAGAATTGCCTCACCACCAAAGGGTATAAGTGCAAATTTCTTAAACACGAGTTGGAATTTCTGGGCCACATCGTCTATACCGAAGGAGTGAAAATCGACCCCAAGAAAATCAAGACCACACAAGAATGGAAGACGCCAAGCAACATCAAAGAGCTGTAGATTTTTTTTTGATTCGTCAATTACGTCGCCTACGAATCACGGAAGCTGCAGGGTGCAGAGAAAAAATATACAATATACGATAAGGAAATGTTTGCGATCGTCCACGCGTTCAAGACCTGGCGATGCTACCTGACAGGTGCTAACGTCATTGTGCGGACTGACCACAAATCCCTCTAGTACTTGCGAACCCAACCGAATCTCAATGCGGGACAAATCCGATGGCTCGATTTCCTGGAATCAAAATTCCACTACATCATCACCTACAAGCGGGGCGCCAACAACATTGCTGATGCCCTGACCCGACCCATTGCCCATACAGCCGCCAGACTAGTTACCCAAACCAGCCCACTCCTTACCGGACTATTTACCCACGGCTACAAAATCGACCCATTCTTTCGCTCCTCCATTCACCAACAGCATACCACCGCTACCGGACACTACTTTAATAAGCGCGACACTTCCCGCATCTGGGTTTCCAGCTGCGATTTACTTCGTACCCTTCTAATCCAGGAATCCCACGACAATCCTACCTTCTGGCATTTCGGAGTCGACAAAACCATGAAGATGTTGCAACGCAATTATTACTGGCCGAACATGGCCGACGATGTGCGCAAGTATGTGTCCTCCTGCACCGCCTGCCAGTTTATGAAATCATCCCATCAGCGAGCTGCCGGACTCTTACAACCGTTGGATCCGCCAGAGAGACCCTGGCAACATATCACGATGGACTACCTGACAGGACTGCCGGCCGGTCCCAGCGGAAACGACGCCATCCTCGTGGTCGTTGACCGACTCACGAAAATGGCGCACTTCATCGCCTGCCAACAGAAAATTACAGCGGAGCAAACTGCCCAACTGTTCATCGCCAACGTCATCAGATTGCACGGACTGCCCACCGCCATTATTTCAGACCGAGACCCGAAATTCACATCGAATTTCTGGCGCCACCTGTGGGACCAATTCGGCACCATATTACAGTTTTCCTCAGCCTACCACCCACAGACTGACGGGCAGACCGAATGAGTCAACCAAACTATGGAGCAACTCATTTGGACTACCTGCACTGACCCACAGACATGGGAGAAATCTCTTCCGCTGCTGGAATTCGCGTATAATAACGCGCCTTCCGCCACAACCCATCATTCCCAATTTTTCCTAAATTACGGACAGGACCCCGTGGTACCCTCTACACCAAACATTGAGACCCCGTGCCCCGGTCCCAACGATTTGCCGAAGACATCCTCGTAGTCCGGGAAAAAGCAGCTGAGGCAATCTGGAAAGCCAACCTGGTCGCAAGCCGACAAGCCGATCGTCATCGACGTGACGTCACTTACAAAGTGGAAGATCTCGTACTACTCGACACTCGCAATTTGCGACTGCCGATCCCGAGCAAACTCCAACCCTGATTCTGTGGCCCTTTTCAAGTGACCAATATGGTGACACCTGTCACCGCTCACCTCCGACTCCCGGCGGATTGGCGTCACCACCCGGCTTTCCACTTCAGCCTACTACAACCCTACGTCCCCTGTTCGTCAGATTTGGCACGTCAGCGAATCGTACCGCAGCTGACGCCCCTGCAGGAACCGACGATTGAGCCCTTGAAGATTCTCGGCCATCGAGTCACGACGCAGCAGAATCGACGAATGGTGGATTTTCTCGTCAGATGGCGCGATCGGACGTTTGAGGATGACAGCTGGGTGCCCCTCGCTGATATAGAATCACACCCGATTCTATCAGCGTATTATCAGCGTCGGAATGTTTCCAATGCCCGCGGCCTCGTTTAGGAGGAGGGGGGGGGGGGGGGGGGGGGGGGGGGGGTAGTGTAAAGAATTTCCATTCCTTACTGAGTCGTACGCTAGCGCGTACACCCGAACTCCTCTACTCGTCACGTTCGGCCTCATTTGTCGGCCCAACCCTTTCCCGCGCCGGGTCCGGCACTGTCGCCAAATTGCCGAACCTACCCACGTTCCGATGTTATCGCCCAAGCATGCCAACCCCTATATAACCTCGTGCCTTCATTGCAATAGCGACCTTGTATTCTCACGTAATATTTCATTGACACTTCCTATATCATAACACCCCGTAACAGAAATAACCAAAGTTGATATTTTATTGGGCTGGGGGGGGAGGCGAACGCGGCTCCAACGCCGCACTCATTGTCAAATGTGCGGCTCGATTTCGCTCCAATCTCCATTTTTGGAATGGAGCACTTTCACCCACGTAAGGAGTGCCTCGTCAAAACGCGCGGCACTTGTGCAGCCTTTCTCTCGACGTGCAATGGAGCATTCCACGGCGGAAGATGGTGCCAGCCACCATAAGCTTTACGTGGCCCTGATAGTGGATTGTACGTGCTTTACGAGCTTCCGAACTTTCACTGAGGTTTCAGGCTTCCACCGCGCTCCTCGCTAGATATGTCCGTACTTCATCAGTATAAGGCCATCTTTCCGTGAGATTGCATAGACAAGCACAGTCGTACATCTCCCCCCAACCCCGTATCCAAACTCTTCACCCGTTTCGACTTGACCTTTCACTCTTCGGCTCCTCCCTGGTTGTGTAACCCAGCGCCATCTTCCCAGCTCGGAGCCATGGCTCCGCAGTCCCATCTGGTCCGTAGGCTTGCGTGGGGAGCGACAGGCTTCGCCCTGGCTGTAATCGCCGTCCTTGCCACGTGTCACGCCGTCGACAACTACTACATCCTGCGCCACCCCGCGTTCTGCGCCGAGACGTCCGATCCGCGCTACTGCGTCGAGCAGCTCCGCGACGTGCGGCGCAAGCTCGGCGCGCTTCCCGCTCCGCAGAGCGAGCTCGCGCCGGGACTGGTGGCGAACATCACGGCGGGAATGCAGGTGGTGCTTGCGAGAGTATCCGCGATAAAGAAGAGCCGCAGTACAGTGAACATGTCAGACGCCGTCACAACCGACTGCCTTGATCTGGTAAGATACCGGCCGCAGTGCCGTCCTAGATCATATCCCCTCCTTATAAGCTTCTTCCGTCTTGCTTAGACTCAGAGCAGAGCAGAACGTCGGACGCAGAGCCTCGCATTTCTCTGACCTCCGCACACACTGAATCGCGTCTCTTGCGGTTGTTTCTCCCTCCCCTGCCCGTTCCCTGCGCGGCGTTTTCTCCGAGGAGCCTTGGAGGAAACGCATTTCCCATTTCCGCCGAGGAGCCTCGGTTTTCTCCGAGCTTTGAGAAACGAACCCATTTCCCTCCCTCCCTCTGCCCGCGTGATAGGAGTCTAGTTTTGAGGCGCCTCAAAACTAAAATGAAACGAACCCATTTCCCTCCCTCCCTCTGCCCGCTCCCTGCGCGGCGTTTCCTCAGACCGCGAACGCCCTGTATCATCTCGCCAAGGCAGCAGCGGCGCTCAAGGCGCGCACCAACGACGAGGACGTGCCGTTCTGGGTCACCGCGGCGCGGGACCAGCTCGCGACGTGTCTCGACGGCATCTGGGAATTCTCGCTCGACACATACAAGTCGCACCCGGGGAAGTCGCTCAAAGCCCACGGCCACAATCTCAAGAAAACTTTCGACACCGCCATCGCTCTCGCGCTCCACTCCGCCCGATCCGCGCAAAAGACTCCCCCCCGCCGCGAGACTTTAGGAGACGGCGGAGGTCCGGGGAAGCTGCCCCCGTGGGTCGAGCCGGGAATGTACGAGCAGATTAGGGAGCTTCAGGCGCGGATGCAGGGGGATCACGCGGAGGCGGAGGCGTGGGTGGAGCGCGGGCGGAAAGCGCTCGGGCTCGGCCTGGCGGACGCGGAGGAGGCGGATGCGGCTGGCGGAGGGATTTGGGGGAAGCTATTCGGGCGGACGAGGCGGGGGCTGATGGGGGAATCCAGGCGGAAGCTTCAGCTTGCGAAAGTCAAGAAGCTGAAGCCGAATGCGGTGGTGGGGAAGAACGAGAAGTACAAGAAGATCTCGGACGCGTTAAAAGCAGCTCCGAAAACGGGGCTGTACGTGGTGTACATCAAGGCGGGGACGTATAAGGAGAAGCTCGTGGTGAACCGCGAGGGCGTGATTTTCGTGGGAGACGGCATGACGAAGACGATTATAACGGGGAAGGACAGCGTGGCTGGCGGGTTTACCACCTACAACACGGCGACAGTCAGTGAGTGTTTCAATCAACTATCCGAGTAGCTATCGTTAACTCACTCGCCTTGGAAAGGCGCCTTGGATTATTATCTCCCAATTATAGCGCCTCTCTGTCACTCGCTTATTCGGGGGATTCTTTCCCCTCCCGTTCCAATTTCCCAACCCCTGTCATCTCTACTTCTTCCCTTCCCTTTCTCCCTTCCTCCCTTTCTCCCTTCCTCCCTTTCTCCCTTTCGCGCTTTTTCCTCACCCTTCAGGTGTCAAGAGAAACTATTTTCAGGCAGCGGGAATCAAGTTTGAAAACACTGCGGGGCCTTCTGGAAACCAGGCCGTGGCGCTTATGATCGACGCGGATAAAACCGTCATTTATGACTGCTCCGCTACTGGTTACCAGGACACGCTCTACACCCACTCCGGTCGGCAATACTACCGAAACAGTTTCATTTCGGGATTCACGGATTTTATCTTCGGAAATGCTGCGGCGGAGATTGAGAATTGTACGATCGAGATGCGCGCGGGGAAATCCAACATTCCGATCACTGCGTCGGGGAGGGAGAGCGAAACGCCCACGGGGATCGTGATTCGATACTCGTTTGTAACCGCGGAGAAGGGTGTTACAAACGGTTACTTGGGACGCCCTTGGAAGAAATGTGCGCGTACAGTCTATATTCAGACGTACCTTCCCAAGGTAAGCTAGAGACAACGCTCATCTGCATGCCGTTGATCCCTGGGTCTTCCCCCTCCCCTCCTTTCCAATCCATTTAACCCTCAGACCCTTCAGCCGTCTGTTTGATAACCCATTGCTCACCTGTTCCACCCCATTGCTCACCTGTTCCACCCCATTGCCCACCTGTTCCACCCCATTGCTCACCTGTTCCACCCCATTGCTCACCTGTTCCACCCCATTGCCCACCTGTTCCACCCCATTGCTCACCTGTTCCACCCCATTGCACACCTGTTCCACCCCATTGCTCACCTGTTCCACCCCATTGCCCACCTGTTCCACCCCATTGCTCACCTGTTCCACCCCATTGCACACCTGTTCCACCCCATTGCTCACCTGTTCCACCCCATTGCTCAACTGTTCCCCAACATCATCCCAGTTGACATTTTTTAGAATTCTCGAAAAATGACTCCTAAAATAGGGGTGAAGAATGATCATCCAAAACCCACTTATCTTCTCTGCCCAGAACCCACTTATCTTATCATCCCCTATTTTCACCCCTATTCCAGAACCCACTTATCTTCCCCCCATCAGCAAATCAACAAGGATGGGTGGAGCACGTGGAATGGCGACACCTACGGCAAGTGTGTGTACTATGCTGAGAAGGACAGCGAGGGGCCGGGTACACGCAAACCAAAAGGCTCTTGTGTAACGCCCGCACCCATCCCTCCGCTCTAACCCCCACCCTCCCCCCATCAGCAAATCAACAAGGACGGTTGGAGCACGTGGAATGGAGACACCTACGGCAAGTGTGTGTACTATGCTGAGAAGGACAGCGAGGGGCCGGGCGCATACAAGCCGAGAGCGAAATGGGTGAAGCCGGGGATCATCCGCGATGGCAAGCCGTGGGCGCCGGAGCCGTTCATCCAGCTGGGGGAGTGGTATGACGTGAAGAAGGGGGTCATCAGATATCCCTAGTAGAAAAGAAGGAAGCACTGGGGAGGGAGGGCCGGGGGCGCATACAAGCCGAGAGCTAAATGGGTAAAGCCGGGGATCATCGGCAATGGCAAGCAAGCCGTGGGCGCCCGAGCCGTTCATTCTACTGGGGGAGTGGTATGACGTGAAGAAAGGGGGTCATCCGGAATCCCTAGTCTAGAGATGATGCCCAGGGGAGCAGGGAGCGGGGGCACAAGCCGAGGGCTAGCTTGGTGAAGGGGATCATAGGGGATGGAAGCTGTGGGCGCCGGAGCCTTTCATTCAGCTATACGGGAGTGGCAGAACGAGAAG